TCCCGAGGTGTTGATGCAAAAAGGGTACGGGAAAGAATGCGACTGGTGGAGCCTGGGTGTGATTATGTACGAATGCCTGGTTGGCTACACCCCCTTTTATGCGGAAGAGCCAGTGATGACCTGCCGTAAAATTTTACGCTGGCAGCAGCATTTGGAAGTACCGGGGGAGGTCCGCGCGCGCGTGTCACCCGCCTGTTTGGATTTCATGTTCTCTCTAATGGCGCCGGCCGAACGCCGGCTGGGGCGGCATGGGTGGGAGGAGATCAAGGCCCACCCCTGGTTTGTCGAGTCGGGCTTGGACTGGGACGCATTGAAAACGGCGCCGGCTCCATACAAACCGGAAGGCTGGGAAGTACTGCGAGCCATGCTGGAGGATTTGCGGCAGGTGCCCAAGGAGGATGTGCGGTACCGGCCGTTGCTGGAGCAGATTACGGCAAATTTTGACGATTTTCCCGAGACGGAGGGGGGATTGGGGGCCGTGGGGGGGGGCGGGGCGGCGGGCCGCAAGGAGAAGGGCCACGAATTCATTGGGTACACGTACAAGCGAGGCTCCAAACTGGTGGTACGGTCGGCGATGGAGGTAGGGCTGTTCGGACCCCCTTTGCGGGAAGGATCGAGGGAGGAATTGATGGGAGAGGAGGAGGCTTGAGGAGAAAGGGAGGAGGGTGGATTTTGCAAGTAGATGGACAAGCAAGGAAGCAGGGCATTGCACATGCGAGGCAGTAGAGAAGGGAAGGGAGGATGCCAGTGCTGGGCTATTTAAAGGCTTGGCACAGGGTGACGTGCCCGGTAGGACGGCAACAAAAGGGAGGGAGGCAGGGGGCGAGGAGCAAGGCTGCAGACGAGGGATGGAGGAGAGAGCGGGAAGGTGAGGATCTGGGGAGCAGGGCCTCTGGCTTGGCCCGTGCGCAGCATTGTCTGGTCGGACCCCGGAGTCCCGCGGGCGTGGACCCGAGAAGGGTGGGACGACGCCAATCATTGTTTCCAAAAATCAATGAAATGGACAGCACGTTGCATGAACATAAATAGGAATGCGAGGTCTATGGCATCAAAACAGTGAATTAGCGTTAATGAATCAATGAGTAGGACACGATAAGCTTAGGTTGCGGTCGGGAGGGGGGGAGGCGTCTTGCTTCCTCCTCCTTCATCAAAGAGCCCCGCTAAAAAACAGAAAAAAACGAAGGCGAGACCAACACGCTGGGCGACAAGGCTCATGTGCGCTTGTACACATGCTCCTCTTCCCACTTTTCTTGGCTCTACCGCCACTCCCTTCCCCGTCGGCGTTGCCAGAAAGACTATTTTCAAGACCCCTGAAAAGTGCCAGCGAGCGTGCCTCCTTTTCTGCCATTTGATGGGTGTTTCTTTCCCTTGGAATGGCATCGCTGGCCTCCATGCCTTTTCCATTCTCGCTCCTTTGCAGATACTCAAATCATGCTCCCCCGCCCTACCTAGATACACATGTCCCTTTCCTCCCCCCTCGCCTCCCTTTCAGAAATACGCCTTGTTGGCGCTGTCCACCAGAACACGACCGTCGCCCTTCTCTCCCTTCACGACGGGGGTCATGTCGATGTTCAACGGCTCCTCCTTCACGTCCTCAGGGACGTGACCGGCAAACACCACGTCGAAGGGCAAGGGGGGGTTCCGCATGAAGAGAGTCCCGCCTGGCATCCAGGGAAGGATGTATTTGTCGGGGTGGGAGTAACGCAAAAGCTCTTCGTGGGCCTTTCGGACCAACGCCTTCACTTTCCCTGACTCGGGTGCCAAGTGTGCATTGGCCGAAAAGGAGGCTCGGAGTTTGCCGGCCTCGGAGAGGAAAACTTCCCGGTCGATAGCCCTGCGGGGGAAAGGAATTGCAGACAGGATTAGGAAGGGAGGAAGACGAATACGTGGCATGACAGAAGAGGTCAAGAGATGGGGAGGGGAAGGAAAGAAAAGGGGCAAACATTGAACAGGTAGCGGGGAAAGGAGGAACAGACAACGCTTTTAGCGTGTATCTAGCGGAGATAGGCTATGAGGGTACGATAAGAAAATATCGAGGGCATGGAAATCGTTTGAGAGGTTGGAAAGGCAACCCATGTAAGAAAGTAATGCGGGAGGGAGGCAAAGGTGGCCGTCACGCTCCAGGTTTCCTTGCCGCGCCTGGCGGTTCGCACAGGGAACATTCAAGACATAACTTCGCATGCACAAAACAACGACCACACAAATGCGCAGAGCACATGTGAGAGGATGGGGTTGGGCATGAAGCCATGCCTAGAAGCACCTACCAAGAATTTAAAGTCTTCAGGCTCTTGCGATAGAGCCGAACGACTATCGTCTTGTGAGAAAGCTGCGGCGCCGGGTTGATATACTGCGCTGCAGCGGCTCGCATGGATGCATTGGCCATGATAGCCGCCCAGCCGTGTACCTGTTCGCAACGATGTTGGTTGAGTGGCGTGAGGGCAGGATTGGGCAGAGAGAGGGAGACAAAGCAGCACGGGTCAGGTAACTGAGAGAGAGAGGAAGGGCGTGGCTTGCTGAAAGAGAGCTTATCTCTCCCGCAGGTGAACAACTTGCCGAAGGCATACACGTGCGTTGCAACCACCACAAAACATTCCACATATGCCTACAATGGTGGGCCACTGTCGCTGTTGTGGGCCAACGCTGGCCTTGTCCACAACATTGTGCTTGCGATTAGTCATGGTATCCACGCCCCTCCGAGTCGCTGTCGCTAGAACCGGAGGTAGTTGACGTGGGAAGGTTTTAAAGAAAGCATTTTACGAGAGGTAACGCATGGAATGATAAGGTTGGTTAAAACGGAAGCAGAACCTCATGCTCTCCTTTTTTTTGGGGGGGGGACAGGTTTGCCCGAGCCCAGCTTTTAGTACTTCCCAAAACGCTGCCTTGGTGACGTGTGAAGAGGGAACAAACGGGCCGCTTGCTGGGGAGTAGAGGATCCCTTATACGCGGGGGATGATAAAGAGTACTCGGTATGTGCATATTTCAAAAAATTATGTACGGCGGCAACTCTGCGGTTTAGTTCATCCCATTTCGCCTTTTCCTTCCTCACTTCGTGTTCTTCCTGGTCACGTTTCTCCCCTTTTCTGTATATGTCCCTCTCAAAGACGCGGTCTCGGCATCAATCAGCGTCCTTCTTTCCTGCTTGTCGTCCTTCGTTGCATAACTTGGTCTCTAGGCAGCGCGCACGGGCCCATCCCTGCCTCCTCCTTCACCCCTTCCTTGGGCTGTCCTGGGAGTCTCGCACGTTCCGACCCCCTCCGTGGCGCCCTCGGAGGCGCTTTACCTTCTCCGTGTCGGCCGTTTTTTGGTTGGAGTAAAGCAAGCGCAGCCCTCCACGCGTCTGGTTTAGGTTGGATTTCGCCCGCGCTTCCCCGCTCCATCACCTCGACCGCGCCCTTCTCTTTTGGGGGGGGGCGTAAAGCGCAGGAAGCCTCCTTCACCTCTTTCAACGGTGTGCCCGGGGGTCCTTCGCGCCTTTTTCACGTCAAGGGTCGAACGTCCGTGCGTGCGCTTTCTTCCGCTTCGCCCTCGGGCCCCGTCTCCACGATGATTTGCGCCATCCCCCCCGACGTCCAGGCCGCTCTCCGCACCCTGTACACAGCCCCACCTGCGAGCCAACCCTCCCGTCCTCCAACCCCGCCCTCCCGCCTACAGATATGCGTGTGCACCACAGGTGCCGGTGGGGCCCTTGGTCAATGGATGCTGGGCACGGCGGGCGCGAGCAATGTGCTTCTGGAGCTAGCGTCTCCCTATGCGAAGGGGGCGATTGCCGTGTACTTGGCGCATGGAAGGCGCGAGCCCTCGCTTCCTCCCTCCGACGGCTCCTACTGCTCGGCATCGACGGCGTCTGAACTGGCACGAGCCGCGTACCACCGGGCGGTCGCACTCGCGGTGGGAGGGGCGGAGGGAGGGAAAGACAGCGGGGAGGAAGGCGGGAGGGAGGGCCAAGTCCGCGTGCTGCGGGAGGGGACATTCGTGGGGGTCGCGTGCACAGCCTCCGTGGTGTCGAGCCAGGCAAAAAGGGGGGAGCATCGTGCTCACATTGCCACGTACAGCCTGGACGTGGAAGGTCGGGTCCTCGCCCGCGGCTACTCCCTGTCGTTGACCAAGCAGGCCCGGAGCCGCGTGGAGGAGGACATTGCCGTCAGTAAAGCCACCCTGGCGGCACTGATGGAGGCTACCCATCCGCTAGGGCCCGATGCCTCCTCTCCGTCTTTCTCGTGGCGGGAATTCCTGCCCGTCGGTGTCGGGGAGGGAGGATTAGGGGGGGAGGATCGACTTGTCGAAGGAGAGGACGAGGCAGGGCGGGAGGAAGGGGACGCCTTGGATGCACTGATGGTCCACCAGACGGTGGATCGAGTCGTCTTTATTCCATGCCCCCAGGCGCCCAACGGCCTCCGCTTGTACCCGTCTTCCACTACCGTCTTCCCTGCCTCAACCCCGCCCTCCCCCCCGGCTTTCTCCCCTCTCATCGTCTACCCTGGCTCCTTCAATCCTCTGCACGAAGGCCACATTCAACTTGCCCGCGCCGCCCAAACGCTTCTGGCCTCCCACCCGTCCTCCGCCTCTCCTTCTGTTCCTTCTTTTTCCCCCCTTGTTCTCTTTGAAATCTCCACCTCCAATGCCGATAAGGGCATGACGGAAAGAAGTGCCCTCATGCCTCGCTTCTCGCAATTTGCCTCTCTCTCTTCTGCCCTACTTGTCCTTACCCGTGCCCCACTTTTTCTCGAAAAAGCTCGAATTTTCCCCCATTCTTGCTTCTTGATTGGGGCGGACACTGCCAAACGGCTGTTGCAGCCTAAATACTACGAAACGGCAGAGAGGGAAGGAGGAGGGAAAGGAGGGCGGGATGCCCTCCTTCTGGCCTTGAACGAAATAAGGATGCAGGGCTGTCGTTTCATCGTGGGGGGCAGGAAAGTGAAAGGGAGCGATGGGAAAGCAGACTTCCTGACGTTGGAAGCGGTGTTAGAGGAAGCGCGGCCGCTGGCTCTCCCCCCGTCAGTGCTTGAGATGTTTCTTGGTCTGAGTGAGAAGCAATTTCGAATCGACCTCAGTTCCACAGAGATCAGGGCGCGCGAAAGAATGAAAAACGTCTGAGCAAAGACGGGAGGGTTGGGAGTGAGACCCCACCAAGCGTACGGCGGATGATGAGCTATTGTCTCTCGACAAGAATGTTCCGAGCATAAACCTCCGGCTCTTATGCTCGGGCTCGCGGATTTTTCCGCCTATCCTGTTGGACCTCCTTTGCACGCCACGAGATCCTAGTCATCAACTCTGCGCTTTATTAATACGGCTTGATGCGCGTGAATATGGATAGTCCTTTTATGTCAATTTTCTTGGTATTTTGCTGTGGCTAAAACATGACCTGACCAATTAAGGATTAATGTTTGTACGTCAGTCATATTGCATCATCTCTGAACAGCTCTCTGCTCGACATTCAAACCCCTCTGGGCACCCATCTCTGCCTCCCTCCGTCCCTTTTCCCTTCCCCCTTTTCAACTTTCCTCATACCCAGCGCGCTCGCTCCCGTTCAACTTGTAAAGCGGCCATTCGTAGCCGTCTAGACCGTCGCCAGCGGCAGTAAGCCACCGTAAGTATGAGGACTACCGTCACCACCACAGCAAGGGCCCAAACCCGTTCATCCACGGCCCTCCCTGCTTGCTCCCATCCCTTCACTTGTTTCCCAGCCTGCACGGCTGCGGTCTTGATCGCGTGTCCTGCCTCGATCAAGACGTCCCCCGTTTCCTCCGCCAGGGTCTGGGCCTTGTCAACCATGTCTTCCTCCACCCCATCCGCCTCTCCCGTGCTTTGTGCCCCGACCGCATCGTCTTTCAATGCCGCCCACTCCTCCACCGGCAACAGGCTCCACCCTTGCACGGCAGCCACCCCAAAAGCACCCACGCACGCCGTCCCACATCGACCCTGGCCTTCCCCCCCCCCTCGTCTCAACATCCTCATGTATCCTGCTTCGCCCCACGTGGTACCCCACGTGTTTTTTAACACCCAAAACTCCCGCCCACCTTCCTCCGGCTCCTCTTCTCCGTAGCCCACCAAGAGCATGGCATGGTCCACCTCCCGCGTGCATGTGTCCAAGTCGGGCCCCTGGCCTCCCCAGTCCGTCACACCTGCTCCCCTCTCCTCCCCTCCTCCTCCTGAGCCTGGAAACAGACAGTCTTGGTCAGGGGTGAAGATCCCCGAGGCGTAGGCGAGGAAGGCGGGACAGTTGGATTTGACATGGACGGCCAGGGGTCCGAAGAAATAGAGTGCCTTTTGAAGAAGCTTGTCAGAAGCACAGGGAGGGATGAATGTAGGGCCATAGGCAAATGCAAAGGCAGGTGTATCACCCAAACATGCGCCTGTGCCAAAGATAGGAAGGGTCGAAGGGGGTGAAGGAAGCTGACTTTTGAGAAAGTATGCAGCAGACACCTCGCCTCCCTACCCAACACACCTTGCATTTGGGTGGACGGATAGGAGGAGAAGGTTCGGAGGCCATGGTCATGTATGTACGAGAAGGCGTCGCTTACGGTCCCGCCTTCACACCCCGTGTTCTGGTCGGCGCAGTCAACGAGTTGCTGGGAAGAGAGACTTTTTGTGAACAAAGCGCCGGGGCCGTGGCGAGTGCTGCCGTCCGTGGTGGTGAAATCATGATTACCGTCCCCGAAATCTTCGGCATGCTGCAGAGCAATTTGACCCTCGACAAGGGCACTGGTGGCATATGCCCAACAACTGTGGGGAAATGAACGCGGGGAAGGCGACTGCGTGGGTGCATGTTGGAGCAGAGAGAGGTCTGAGGGAGAAGACAAGGTTGAAAAGGAGGATATTGTGAGACGGGAGAGGGAGAATTAACCTTTATGTCTACGTACCTCCCGCAGGTGCCCTGATATTTGACCGATGTGACTGCCACCACGCCGTAGGGATTCGCGTCGCTATAGCGGTAGTCCAAAGAAGCAGGAAGGGCCACGTCGGACAGGTTAGAAGCAAAGGAGGAGAAGGGAAGCCGCCGGTGGTGCACTACACGTCGATGCTTGCGTTCTACATCGTCTGTAGAAATTTCGGATAAGGCAGAAACATTGAAGGCATCATCATAGCTGATGGTCCCTGATACCAAAGCCTCGACTAGTGTTATATTGTCCAAGTCCAACATCTTTTCCGTGTCCACAGGCACGGCCCGGGAGCCCCCCAAATACCGCCGTTCCTCAGAGGTCCAGTCGCTCATATTGTTCACTCCTAATGTAAAGGCTGCAGTGGGATGTGTATTCCCGAAAGCATGGACGTAGGCGACGGACTCGCTGAAGGCGTGACATCTTTTCAAGAAATCGTCCTCCCCTCTGTCTTGATGCGACCCCTCTTGTCCCTGCCCGGGACCGGATGGTCGCCCTGCCTTTTGTGCAAAACCCTCATAACCCCATTCTCCGTCACATTTCTCTTCCCAAGGTGGGGTGCGAAGCTGCTGTACTCTTTCTTGATCACTCATCTCAGGCTTTGAAAGTCCAGGCGTCGATGACCACCAAGTCGGGCAAGGCGGAGGATGTAGATGGTGTTCGTGGGCTTGCTTCTCCACATAATCGGCCTTCCCAGAATCCGGCAGGGGCCGTGGGTAAAAATGATCCATCCTATCACGGTAATTAGGCCCTGAAAAGGTCCCGCCGGTCAAGTCCGTTGGACCCTGGGGTTCGCGGTTGTCTTCGTCCGCAGTGCCCTCGGATATGGGCAACGGGGTCATGCGTGGATTCCTCTCGTCTACGCTACCTTCATTCATTTGTTCCATCTGGGGCTTGTACTCCGCCAACACCTCTGTATGGCCTTTGGGCTCGATTGAACGTTTTGTCTCCTTCCCACCCTCCAGGTCTCCTGCCGTTTTTGATTGAATGTTGGCCCTGCCACTGCCATAATCGTCTTGTGCCTGAATTCCATCCAAAAGTCGATGTGGAGTTTTTCCAAAGAATAGCTGTGTCAGCATTCTGTGCTCTCAGCCTCCTCTGCTGTGAATTCCTGTCGTCTCTAAAAGCTCTATTTATGAAAGTTCCCGCTGTAGGCACATGCAGGAAAGAACGAAAATTGACGTGTCACCGGTGTATTTTATAATAAAAGATGGATAGTGTGCTAATGGGATTCTTATTACGATTGACACGGTGTTTGTTGACGGTTGCTCGTACGTCAGCCTTCTTTGGACGCCTTCAGGTCCGTATTTCGCGGGAGAGTACAAATGATTTATCCGAACGAAAGCTGGCTCACGCGTGTCACAGAAGAGTGATGCCATGAGTGATGAAAAATTGACCAAATAAGAATCTGTGCAAAGAACGGAAAATCGACCATCGAGAAGAAGAAAGCAGGCTAAAAGACGGATGAGATGGACTTTGTCGACATAGACCCGAACCACATGTCCTATCTTTTTCAAATTTTAAATTTGATTTGAATTTTCCGAACCCGACCTCCATTTGACCCTTCGCTCACCCCTCACCACTTTATTGTTTGGTTTCTATATTAGCATCACCACGGAAATGGCAAGCGCCGGATTACATTTTTTCTAATAAAAAGGTAATCACAGCACAAGGCTCTTACCTAAAAGTTATATCGGAGTCAGCGCAGCGTTCCGCACGGCTCCCTCAGAGTATGATGGGCCGAGAGGTTGGATTTAGGTCGCTAACATCATTGCATATGTGTCTACAAACTTGAAAACGGTATTCTGATGATGAGCCGATCGTCGAGGACCAATTTTGTCGGGTCATCTTTTTCGTTCACAGTCTGACCAAATAAAGAAGTATGCGTGTATTTTAATCACAGACAAAATTGTTGACGGATTGAAGATTACCTGAATCGTCTTACCCGTGTCCATCCGATCTTTTAATCTGACAAAACTCACAAGGCCTCGAATATCACATGAAAACATAACACGTGACTAAACATCCCCTCTTTCTCGTGGCTTTCTCGCGCGTAGGAATCTGCCTTCTCCTCTCGTAGGTAGGCGCCTTGCAAGGCTCTTAAAACTACGTAAAACGTCAAAATATTCCACAAACTACTCCGAACTACCCATCAAATTTATAGAACACTGGTACGTTATGCTGATTTCCCGTCTACAAAAAATTTGTGACAATCGATGGGGCTGGTAACAAATCCTTGAACGCGGTTATTATCATCGTATTCCGTCGAATGTGTGGTGCCGCTTTCCAGGATCTTTCCACAGAGTCGGGGCAGTCTAGCCCGGTTTGAAAACTTTTAGCTCTTAAGCGGCACCACGTTCTAAATTTATGCCAAAGAAAGTACCGTTGCTTGTCCTCGCTCGGACCGTGTGGGACAGATTTTATTATCATGATATGATTAAAGCATCGTTGCCTGTGCAATTATCATGAGCGCCCAACGTAAGTAAGAGGCGATTTTTCATACCATTTTGTCCGTAAGGAATCAAATAACTGTACACGTAGACGAATCTCTGGGAGGACGAGTATCAAAACAAGTGTCGCAAGATTCTGAGAAGAGTAGCGAACACGGCTTGGCTTTTCTTTTTCCTTTAGAAAACGATGAGCTCCCTCTTCTTTCCACAGTTCCTTCGTACACATCTTAACCATATGATTTATCATACCACAGCTGTAACTCCCGTTCTCTCCGCCTCGCTCCTCGACATTCGACCATGACTCTCCAAGGTCTTGATTCTCTGCTCAATCATTGTATGCTTTCTCTCCATCTCAGAAGACCTCTCGGACGGAGGCGGTGGAAAGCAGCACCAGGTTCCGAGCCTCTCCCCGAAGTAGTAATGGTGGTCCTCCACGCTGCTTATCGAGCCGTTGCTACACACATCCTCATCCTGAAAAAAAATAGGAGACAATCAGCGAAGAAACCACCGTTTTGCCATCCCCCTTTCCAAATAACGATCTGTTCGATCAGCAACAGCAACAAGACCTTGCCAATTCCATGGATGCTCGCCCCCCCTTTCCCCTTGCCCCGCTCTCCTACCTCATCCCCGGGACATGCCACGTATTGTGCCCCCACGCTCATGTCGTCGTCGTACCAAATTTCTTGCCCATGGTGGAA